GTTTTGGGCGAAGCGGTGTACCCTCCCGCCTGCGGGAGGGTGTGAGGCGCCGTCTCTCACCGCCACTCCGTGTGAGGCGGCGGCGGCCGTGAGGCGGCGAGAGTGGAGAAGAGCCCATCGCGGGGCAGAGGCAAGAGGGATAGGGATGAAAGGTGGTTGGGCGGAGAGTAAAGAACAGGGTTAGAACACCGCGGTGCCCCTCAGCCTTTGACACCCCAGTGGCTTTCCGTCGAAACCTGTTGTGGTGGTGGTGTGGTGCGGGCCCCAATCTCCCTTGATGCTCTGAAGCAGAAACAGGTGGGCCCCCATGGTGAAAAGCCCCACATAGGAGATTCACACAAATACTGGTTTATTTCACATCTTTTTGGGCAGGGTGAAAAAAGGAGGTGAGTTTCTCTGAAAAATTGTTGTTAAATACACAACTGTGGATTAAAGATACTTGAATTGGCTAAAGCAGGTAGCTACACAGGGTGGGTGAACGCTGTGCAGGGTCATGAGGTGGCAAGATTGTTTTGCAGTGTTTGGAGGGACTGGGGAGTTCTGTTTTGTATGCTGATTTTCAGTACAAAGAAAAGTGCCTGTACGTGAGATAAAATATATGTAAATAAATACCTGTTCATCCTTGCAGTTTAAAGTTGAAGCGCTTTGTTTGGCTGCACAGAGACATGCACAGCCAGATGCTGTACCAGTACTTTCCTCCTTAAGTCATGTTCTCAACAGCCGCAGTAATTGAAAAGCAGAATGAGTCTTGAAAATTTTCGCTCATTTGAGAATAATTTTAATGCAAGAGCTTTTGGTTTTCCAATTAATAATTTGAAGAGGTTTTGTTTTTTTAAAGAAACTTTTAAGGTCTAAAAATCTTCATACTATATAGAGAAGCATCAACCACAGAAAAAGCTAGGTATTAAAAAGCAGTGTTCCTTACTTAGTAGCTTACTGTGATCACATTGTATATATCCATGTAACACGTGGTTAAAAAACTGTATTTTCAAAGCTATGGACAACTAATTAAAAAAACTCAGGTGTGTCAGACAGCTGTTAATGTTGGGGGCACTTACAGTCCTGGAAATTCAAAAGACCTTTACTGGAGTTCTCAATTTCAGTGTGTGAACTTAATTTTCAGATCTGTATTTGCCCTGGCTTGTGCAAAACCTATTGATGCTTCTAGCTGTGTTGAATTGTGTCTAGAATGAGAGGTTTGTCCACTGCTGAGTCACATCTTGCACAGTTTGGAAAACAGGGTACTTGCAGCTGAATTTTTTTTTTCTACATTCTTTCCATCTTCCAAGTAATCCTGTTGGTTTTTGAAGGTTTTTTAAAAGTGTATGTCATGTGACACTTAACTTGAAATGCTTCATACCTCTCGCTATCAGACAAAGATAACAAGAGAAGAAATATTTCAGCAAGGATTCAGTAGCTTGCTCTTTCCTGTTGTATTTGTATATTATGTCTATTGTTGATAAAGTGCTAAGGAAAAAATGATTTGATTTTGTCACTCGTGCATTTAATGATTACAACGATGCTCTTTTCCTTCTAAATAGATATTTTACTCCTTGAATATTTATAAAAATACACAGAATATATAAAAATTAGTATTACTAAAGTAATGAACAGTGGTTTTGTAAGAGGGCAGTGTATTTGTAAAACATTTACAAATACAGAAACTGCATTAGTTACATTACAGAATACAGAGGCATAGTAGCTAAAACCAAAGATAATTCAGTAAGTGAAAGTTGCCCAGGATTTTTAAAAATGGTGTGTGTGTGTGTGTGTTTGTCTGTCTAGTGTGGGATGGCTTGTAGAATCACATTGTTCTTTATGGTTTAGCACTTCTGAATTTTGGAAAATAGAATATTGGCATAGCTTTTTGGGAATACAGTACTGGATATGACAAAATACATAATAAACATTATGAAAGACGAGCAGGCAGGCACCTTAAGAAAGTGCATAATTTACTTCCTTGTTTTTCAGCAGAGTCAAGTATGTAGCTATTAGCCCTGGTATTTTTTTTTTACCCTGTTCTTAAAAACACCACTGATGAGTAACCCCTCATCACTAAAACTACCTCAAAACTAAAACAGTTTGAACTGCTTGAATATCCTTATAGGTGGAGACTGTTACAGGGGTGTCCATAACAGGTCAATGTATGCATGAAAACATATTTATCTTTGAAGTATTGTGGGAAAAGTTATGTAATAAATACAACATACCATTTTGGTAGGAAGAAAATTTCATTATGGCACCATCGGGAAGAAAGCATGGAGGAAAAGCTGGTAAGCCAGCACAGGAAGATCAAGCCATACCTGCCTATGACTTTCAGGAGGAAAGAAAAGAGCTGAGTGGATCCGAGGAAGATATTAGAGAAGGTGCTTATATGAATTTTTTTTTTTTTTTTCAATGTGAAGTTTGTAATATTTCTGACTATGGATAGAAATTAAGACACTTCCCTGTTAGCGAGTGTCTGAGCAAGCATGGTTCATAATGCTGTTTGTGACAGGTAGCCTCCTATTGTATAATTTTCATCGGTAAGAGAGGAGAACACAATAAAATAGCTCTGTATAGTGCACTATTATGTCTTAAAATTAGAGTAAGATTTTCTTATGTGATTTTGTTACCTTATTTTAATGCCATATCCTTCTATCACCTGGCTGTATATAACATGTTGGAGCGTGTCCAGAGAAGGGCAAGGAAGCTGGTGAAGGGCCTAGAGCACAAGTCTTATGAGGAGCGGCTGAGGGAATTGGGACTGTTTAGCCTGCAGAAGAGGAGGCTGAGGGGAGACCTCATCGCGCTCTACAACTACCTGAAAGGAGGTTGTAGCGAGGTGGGGGTTGGTCTCTTCTGCCAAGTAACTAGCGATAGGACGAGAGGAAATGGCCTCAAGTTGCGCCAAGGGAGGTTTAGACTGGACATTAGGAAAAATTTCTTTACTGAAAGAGTGGTCAGGCCTTGGAAGAGGCTGCCCAGGGAAGTGGTGGAGTCACCATCCCTGGAAGTATTTAAAAGACGTGTAGATGAGGCGCTTAGGGACATGGTTCAGCGGGCATGGTGGTGTTGGGTTGACGGACGGACTCGATGATCTTAGAGGTCTTTTCCAACCTTAATGATTCTATTGTAAGATCAGGGTAGAACAGAAGAAGAGCTCTGCTCGCTTGTACGGAGTGCTGAGTTGGGTGGGGTAGTTGGAGTCTTAATGCTGGCAGGGTTAAGAGTACTTCAGGAAGAATCTGAACTGAAGAAAAGAAAGAGGAAGAAGCAGAGAAAGCTGAGAAAAAAAGAAAAGAAGTCAACCAAGGGATTCTTGTTTAATTTTGAGGGAGTGTCATAAAAAAGTGGACTTTGCTTAAAAATGCAGTTCTCATTCATCACATGATAGTTTTTTGTGAAGTTTGATGTAACTCCATTTCTGGATTTTTGTCTTTCAGCAGTTATTTCTGGACTTGTTTCTCTTAATTTCTCCCCTTCTTCATTTGTTCAGACTAAATCTCCCCCCTGCCTTGTTAACAGAAATCGGACAGCCAAGGATTTTTATTTTTTGGAAAGAATATAAATATCTATTTGTGATTTTGTTTTTTTTAAAGGTCAGAGTACACAATTTCAGTACTTATTTTACAGTAAAACTAAATTCTTACAGATCGGGCTTTTTCAATTTTTAGATTATTTTTACCTTTCTGATGATTGTTATATTGTGAGTTGGGAGTAATTGTGTAGTAGCGGACAGAGAAACTAAAGCTGGTTGAGACCAGTGTAGACGAACTCAAGGCAGTGCCAGCTCAAATCTAGCCTTGCAGAATAATTCACCACCATCTGTCAACTCCAGATTCAAAGTTCTAGGAGCTGCATGTGTGACGGATGGGAACTGAGAATCATGAGACATGTTCAGAGAAGTGACATTACAGAAAAGTAATTATACTTTTAATAACTCAAATGACGCCCACAAAATATGAGATATTTTTGTAAATATTTTTGAAATTTGTATTAAGGTGAAACACCAGTAATGGACAAGCATGGCAAGAAAAGACCTTTGGTGACTACTCATGTGGTTCCAGATGATGTGGGGTAAGGTTAGGATTCCGCCCTCCCCCCGCCCCTCCAAATAAGCAAGTCTTAAATAGATACTGATTTCAGTTGTTCACTATGCTTGTCTTGCTTGTTTTTTTTTTTTTTTTTTTTTAGTATTTGATTCAAAAATCAGGTGACAGATAATGCAGTAGTGGTAGGTAAAAAGAGAAAATGCAACATTTAAAAATGAGCAATTCTGCAGTTGGTTTGTAGATCCTTCTGAACATCCATAAAAAATTGATATATTTGTGTGAGTTCTTAAAATTCTTGTTTCTTTCAAAAGATTATTTGTTTTATCCTAAATTGTTGATAATTTCATTAATATTTTTCCCTCTGATCTTAGTCGCTTGAAGATACTAACAGTACTTTAAATGATCCAGCTATTGCATGAAAAATAAATTTTTTACAAATAAATCTTATGAAATTCAATATTTATGGGCAGTGTAAATGTAATAAAAATGTGTATGTTGACATAGTTTTTAGCAAGATTATAGCTGTTGAGTTGAAGATACTTTTTTCCTTTTTTTTAACTCTTCAAAAAATAAAATTATATCCTGTAAAGAAGGTGATATAAAACCAAGATAAACATTTTCTTTACCCACCATGTCCCTTTTTGAACTCCTCAGCTATTGTACCACTGCCTTACACAGTGGTGTGATCTTAAAAGTGTTGTAAAAACAACCCTGATACTATTTGTCTTGGATTTTTTTTACTGTGCTAGTCATGCTAACTGTGATGGACTTGTTTTCATTTGATGTTCCAAATCTCTTTTGTGTTTTCTTTTTGTATAGGGAATGATCAATTTTCTTTACTGTCCTCCTTCACTCAGGACCCTTTAAATGCCTAATACTGCCTTTTTACTAGGGAATAAGTTAATAGATTCTAGTAAATTTTAAAAAAACCAGCAAATTAGTCTAAAAAAGAGACCCCTCGAAGGAGGAGAAAAGGAGTGTCATTTTTTATCTTGTAGAACAGTAGCAGCTCTGTCACTGCTTACAGGTAATAGGCACATGAATAAAATTAGTTTTAAGCATATACAACAGGTCTTACTTTAAAGTCAGAAAAGGAGCAAATAAAAATTTTAAACACTCTTTTGTAGGGGTGAAGTACAGAATATGCTGGAAAGATTTGGAGGTAAGTACATCTGCTTTCTAATAAATTAAAAAACAATTCATGTTTAAGTTGCAGAATTGGCAGTGATTCCTTACCATAAAATAACTTCCAAGATTTACATAAAATGACCAGTCTTGGTAGCATTTTTCAGCATTTCTGAAAAAAGCCAGTATTTAGAAAAAAATTATATGTAAGTAGAGCAAAGAGAAAGAAGAGAAGGGAATAACTGCATATAAAGTGAAATGTAAGTATTAGTGTAGGTAATTACAAAGGAAGAAGGGAAAGATGCACAAGTGCTTTTGATTATCAATTCCAATTTTAAGATGAGGTGTAAGAAGTAGTAATTATATTGTAGAGAAAAGTGACAATGTGAGTTAGGTGTTCTTACTCAATTTTTTGTTACAATGAGGTAGAAGAGACTCAGGATTGCAAGACTTGCGTGAGAAATTAGGGGCACGTAAATATTAATATAGGCAGCTAAATAGAACAAATAGTTCTAATTTTAGACAAGGAGTTTTGGAATTAGATTGTAGTTGCGATACAGAATGAGCTAGAGAGTAGTCTGTATTCTGCACCTTCAGAAATCTAGAGAACAGGGAATTGGTAGAAAAAAGAATTTCAGCAGTTGGGAAGAAGAGTACAAGTTTCTAGAAGAGCTAAAGAATGAGGGTAAGTAACGCCAGTCATCTAGTGATGAGAGATTTATGCACGTCACCTAGTTAGATTTAGTTTAGTCATAATCAGATCCTCAGATGGCTTTACTTAGTTAAATTTCCAGCTCAATTCTAGAGAGCTGACAGGTTAGAGAAAAAACACGTTTCACTTGTGAAGAATTTATAAAATACATCACAGTATAATAAAGCATCAAAAAGCCAAGGAAGGAAGGGAAACCATCTTAATGCCAGTATTACATACTTAATAGCTGGCTAATACTTTCATTGTATGTATAAGAAAATGCTGTACACAGTCATTACTTGCATGTAAATCTTAAGGTGAAAGAGGAGTTCAAGGAATTCCTTAATCCATGAATTAAGACTTTTTGCTGTTAAGGTACATATCAGAATGCTATTGTTGATCTAGCAATCTAGATAGGAGGAGGATTTCAATGTCAGAAAGCTAGGATTGCGTGTTATTGAAGACTCAAAAATAGGATAGAAGGAAGGAAAATGAATGAATCAGAGAGGATGCTGTCTGCTCAAAAATAATAGGTATGGCATTAGCAGGGGCAGATACCTCAGCAAATTAGAGATTTGACAGATGTTTCCTGCAATCTACAGTGAGAAGGAAAAGAAACTGCTGTATTAACCTTAGGCTGTGACTTGTTTGTTAAATCTCCAAATGTAAATTAAACAAACATACTAACTTATATTAACTTGAATACTTCTTTAAAAGTACGAAGTCTCTCTGAATTATGAAAAATAGTTTGTCATTCGCTCATTATGTTCACAGTGATAGTAATCACATACTACCTTTATTTCTGAAATCTAAGTAATTTGAATATTACTCTGAAACGTGTGGTTTTTCTAGAAAAAAAAAATTAGAAAGTGTCAGCGTAACTAAATTCCTTGAAGGTCTGGAAACTCTGTGGTGGCACTGCAGTCATGCAGCTAAACTAATGAAAATTTTGATGGTGTGACTAAAACTTCATTAGATACTAGAGAAAAGAGCAAGATGTGTGTACTCAGTCAGGTTTGTGCAAGGTATCTCTAGCTTTGAATGGAGAATTTACAGACTGTGAAATGTCCAAATACAATGTTTGAAGATACGCAGTGTGAACTGATTGGATAGTGCTTCTAGTGTTTCAAGCATATATGTGTGCTTATTGTGTGGACGGTATGTTAGAAGCGCATGTTGGACCATAATAATCAGTAGGGGAACACATGATGACAGTGTGTAAGGAACTGATTTAAAGGTACATAACGGAAGCACTGCAGCTACCCTGAGTTCAAACCACTGGACCGTTTCAGTTCACTGCGTGTGTCTGCTCAGAGCCAGTCTGACACCATACCCACTACTGTCCTGCCCAGAATGAAAGAAGTTAAAGCTGAGTCACATCATGGTAGGTCCTATTCAGTCTGGCCCCTGAGAAAGGTGGGACTTGAAGCAGATGCTAGAGTAGCTGGTGGGGTGGGCAGTGAGTAGTTGCAACTCCAGAGGCCAGGTGTTGGTTAGGGTGTATGGGGGCCTTGGGGAAGCAGCACTTACACCAGTGCCAACAGCAGATGGAGGGACACTCTAAAGACAGCAGCCAGGAGCCCAGATCACATTAGCTTCTTTCCATTAGAACACACCTCATTTGCTTCTCCAAAGTGTAACTCATCAGCATTTTTAATAAAAGGCATAATGTATCTTGGTATGCTTAATTTCTAAATATTCTTTGATTTTTAGCTGACATTAACAAGGCTCTCTTAGCTAAGAGGAAAAGATTAGAAATGTATACGAAGGCCTCTCTCAAAACCAGTAACCAGAAGATTGAACATGTTTGGAAAACACAGCAGGAGCAAAGGTAACATTTACCCTTGTTTTTCAAACCTGTGAAATAAATTCCCTTTTGCCTCACAGCATCTTCTTGCAGTTGAATAGCAAGTAGTGTATCTACTAGTTAAATACCTGCTCAGGTCCTCTGTTTCTGCTGCCTTCAATTGTGTCCACTTGGTTAAATTGACAGTAATAGCTTAGCATAGTGCTTTCTCTTTCGAATAGAAACTTAAGATTTGGAATTTTGAGAACAAGGTACCTCATAGAGCTGGTTTTACTTTTTTTAATTTTTATGGAAAACGATCTTTGATGTTATTTTTGTCTTTTAAAACGATGTTTTTATTTTTTCCACTTCAGTTGGACCTTTCTGTTTCTACTTGAAAACTGAAAAATGTTCAGTAAAATTTTTATACTATTCTGGTTAAGAAAGAAAATAATTTTCACCCTACCTAACATTCTTCTCACCTCTTAAGGCATGTTTAATTACCACATCTGATACTACACGTAGAGCAAATTAAAAAAATGAGACAGCTAAAAACTGGAAGTCAGAAATACTTGTAACTGTCTTGGTGTTTTTATATATATATATTTGAAACTTGCATTGACAAAATTTAAGTTTACATAGAGAAACTAGAGCATAATGAACTAATGAATAAGCTAATCAATTTTTCATTATAAACCCCTTGTGTTAAAGCCAAGATCTGTAGTTGGGTTAGAAAAACGTAACAATCTCAGAAAACCTGACATTGTTAGGAAGAAAAGTTGTAATTTTTTTTTAACCTGAGTTTCGTATATGAGTGCTGTCTCCTTATATGTATATAATCCACATTGACTCAGGAAGAGAGAGAGAGAGAGAGTGTGTGTGTATTCAGTTTTTCAAAACATACAGTATTCAGTTAGGGCCAGATGTCAAAATAGCCTGTTTCTTTATCTATGCCAGCTCCTTTTATTCTACTCCATGTGTGTGTTGAACCTTAGCTTTCCTTGTAATTCTTTACAGCACTGTCATACTTACAGCTAGTGTCTATTTATAGGCAGAAGCTCAATCATGAGTTTTCCCAGCAGTTCCTGACTTTGTTTCAGCAATGGGATGTAGATGTGCAGAAAGCAGAGGAGCAGGAAGAAAAACTAGCGGTGGGTTTCCAGCATGTCATGTGTTTCACGGTATTTTCACAAGGAGGGAATACTGTTGTTTAGACACTCAAGAATGCAGAAGTGTAAAAACACTTTATGTAGTTTAAATAAACATACAATTGTTTGCCTCTTAATTAAAAAAATTCATTCAAGTTTGGTGGCTCTCAAACTGTAAATGTTTAAGTTTTGGGATATATTTCAAAGTGAATTTATACACTTTATTGCAAGTGTATAAATGGCAATAAGTGATGCCCTAGACCAGCATGTGGCTTGAGAAAAGCCAAGACCATTTACGAAGAAAGATGTGTGCTGATTCTGTGCATCCATAGTCTTCGGGTTAAGGGAACAAAGGAGTAAAGGAAAGTTGTCGTCTTTCAGCATGCATTACTTAAAAATATGCCTGCATATAATAAATGTATGAGAGTTTAGACTGAAAGGGGATAGGAGCTATACAATGGAATGTAGTCACATGATATGATATTGCTGTACTCCCAGCATATTTGCAAGTTTTGCTTTTCCCTAGGCAGCACATTTCCCTGGGATACACTCGAGAACTATGTTGGATAGCAATCCTCATAGGATCTTGTAGGGATAATTCAGATTGGAAGGGACCTCAGGAGGTGTCTCAGGGCTTAATCCAGACTTCAGTCTTTTTTTCATTAATAAGAACAAGGATAACTCTCCAGGCATAGATCTAGTGAAGGCAGAATTTCTGATTTTGACAAATGACATTAGTGTTGCTGCCCAAGCGCTTTTGGTTAACTAACATGATTTTTTTTTTTTTTTTTTTTTTTTGCTTCTGCTTCAGAATATGTTTCGTCAGCAACAAAAAGTTTTTCAACAGGCAAGAATAGTTCAAAGTCAGAGACTGAAAACCATTAAGCAACTCTATGAGCAATTCTTAAAGGTACAGTAAATTTTCTTCTTAGAAGGCAGCTGATCCCTATCGCATTACTTAAGAAAGCCGTATTAATTCAACCTTTATGAAATACAGAGAATTGAGGTTCATTTAAGGAAAATAACAGCCTTGCATGAATATTCATGTTAGTATCTTTCCCTTATTTGTTAAGAACATGGCTTGTTCTCTCTATACATGCATACACATTGCATCTGTCTAATAAATGATTTAGTTAAATGTGTTCTCACAGGGATCTGATTGGCTCGCCTGTTTCCAATATTTAACCATAACCCTCAGAGCATGCTTTCTAAACAGAACACAGTTTCGTACCAGTTTAAAGGTTATATAGGTCAGTTAAATCATCAGGATTTTGTCTTAATTATTCCCCTAGATTTTTGATACGTATTTAAAAAAGTGAAACTTGACAATCTATTAAAAATACATCTTAGGTTGCAATTTACTGCTTTTATTACTGCTGGCAGGTGCATGCCTCATAATGAGAATTAGATACCAATTTTTTCTGTCATTAACCTTTCTAGCTATTGCTGCTTCATGCAAGGAAAGTGACCCTTAAAGAAACTCAATTGTAATTCCCTTAAGATCACCCAGTTAGAATTTCCCTCATCTCTTCCCAAGCAACATTCATTAGAAAGTGTTTTCCTTCCTGTAACCTGGTAAGATGGATGGTTATGTAATCAGTCCTGCTTAACTTTCCTGTTACTTTATGCATAATTTTTGTATTTGCGGGCAATACAAACACTATTTTTTTGGACAGCGCTTACAGAGCATATTGTATTTTAAACACATGGTTCATACTGATCAACTGTGGTGGTTTTGTTGTTTTTTTTTTTTAACAAAGTAGCTAACATACTAGACAGCAAACAAAAAATGATTATAAGTACAACTACTCAAATATTTGTCTTTTTGGTAAAAAAAAAAAAAATTTGCCTCTCATTTTACACTAAGAACAAAACACTTTTTTCCCAGAATTTCCTTCCCCCACTATTCTTCTAAGTAAGTTATCAGAAGTCTAAACTGTGAGAAAAATGAAAGTAAACGATTGGTTTTGTAACGAATGCAGAGGCACACCACCATAGAATCAATGAAGGGCTGAGGTTGGAAGGGACCTCTGGAGGTCGTCTGGTCCAGCCAGCAGGTGGAACAGCAGGGCTACCTAGAGTCAGCTGCCCAGGACTTACATCCAGATGGCTTTTGAATGTCTCCAAGGATAGGCAACCTGTTCCAGTGCTCAGTCACCCTCACAGTAAAAGAGTGTTTCCTGATGTTCAGAGGGAACCTCCTATGTTTTCAGTTTGTGCCCATTGCCTCTGGTCCTGTCACTGAGCACCTCAAGAGCCTGGCTCAATCTTCTTTGCACCCCCCCATTCAGGTATTTATGTATATAGATAAGATCCCCGCCCCGAGCCTTCTCTTTTCCAGGCTGAACAGTCCCAGCTCTCTCAGCCTTTCCTCGTAAGGGAAACGCTCCTGTCCCTTAATCATCTTTGTGGCCCTTCGCTGGGCTCTATCCAGTCTCTCTTCTACTGAGGAGTCTGGAACTGGACCCCGCACACCAGGTGTGGTCTCACCAGTGCTGAGTAGAGGGGAAAGATCACCTCCCTCCACCTGCTGGCAACACTTCTCCTAATGCAGCCTAGGAGACCATTAGCTGCCTTTGCTGCAAAGGCATACTGTTGGCTCATGTTCAACTGGTGTCCACCAGGACCCCCAGGTCCTTCTCTGCCAAGCTGCTTTCCAGTATATACTGCAGTATATACTGGTACTTGGGGAGGATACAAGTCTGTCAGTTTCTGACAAACGTTAATTTCTGTTCAAGTCATTTCCGAACTGGTCCCTTTTTGAAATTTCAGTTAGTTATGGTATGTTGGGTTTTTTCCCAAGTCTGGTAGCTTTGAAAAATAAATCTGAAATAGAGCAACTCTTAGTTTAAGACAGTCAAAATTTACAGAGGATATTACAGAAGCATTAATAAATAACAGCTGTTCCAAAATGTCAAAAATGTCTTCCTCAAAGATGAAAAATTGAACAGAAGGGCAAGTATTACTTTGATTTTTCTCCTCAAAGAAAATCAAAAGGTAGAAATCAAGCCTCAAATAAGCTTAACTAAATACAAGTCAAGGAGAATGCAACTACACACATACATAGAGTTAGGCATAATTGTATGTACAAAAGGGAAGACAACCAGCGAGCTTTACTTGGCTTATTTGGGGAGAAGTGTGCAAAGAGAAGGAAATGTAATGGGTTTTATAGTCATTACTTTAAGTCTCCAAGGTTGTCATAATATTAAACCCCTATCATTCCTGACGGATGTCTGTTTAATCTTTTCTTGCAGAACTTTTATCTTTATTGAAATGTAGGATAACTAGCTGAGACCTCACAGAAGCTGAGTGAAGGGGACTGTTTCCTTCACAGAGTCTATATTGTTTAAACAGGAATGTAGACTGGAGTACGAAGTCCTGTATGATTTGTCTGTCAAGTTTGCGACAAAACAAATCAATTATCAGTGACCACTGCTGCTGTAAAAATTAAATTGTACTCTGAATAATGGTTTGTTTGTTTTAAATTAACCCTTTGACATTAAACAGTTCTGAATTAAGATTATCCTTAACTTCAGAGCATGGAAGAGCTGGAGAAGACCAATGAAAATCTTCTAGCTGGTGCACAGAGCGAACTTCGCAAAGAAATGGCTATGTTGCAGAAGAAGATTATGATGGACACCGTAAGTATCAGGTCTATGAAGAAGTTAGTTAAATGCAAAAATAGATCATTCTATAAAAAAGTCATTTGACATTCATTTAATTAGCTCAAAGGAATCATATTGATATGGCATTTGTTCAGAATTATCTCCTTTTCTTGTAACAGCAACAGCAGGAGATGGCAACTGTTCGCAAGTCTCTTCAGTCCATGTTATTCTGATGGCTCAATGGAGAAACAACTTGTACCTAAGTAACATGATACAAGTATAGGCATTAGCCATAAAGAAGTATGTTAAGATTAAAATGTTTTAAAGTTCCTATTAAACGCTTTCATGGATTGTTCTAATTTTGTGTCTGATAACATTGTAAGAACGTATATTCGTAAATTTATTACTTTGGGGGGGGTGGTATAGACCCCAAACCATTTACTGTCTGTCCAATTAATCTTTAACTACTTAATACTCACTTTCAATAGCACTGGACTGTTTAAATTGTTTCACTTTTTATAATGCCAAATTGTAACAATAGGCAGAATTAATGAAAAATACATTACTCAGATTTTACATAATAACTTCAGGCCTTTAGGTACATTGTGCAAATAGAAGCATTTTTCACAAGCTACAGACTTAAGATTTTCATAGTTTCAACATTTAGTCTGCTGACATATCAGCAGCTATAAAAGTTCACAGAGTATGACATAGCTCATGTAAGATTGTTTAATGATGTGTATTACGGTAAATTAAAGTAAATTTTGTTAACTCTTTCGTTAGGCTAGGCATTGTAAAAATCTTTGTCCTACTAAGAGATTTATGAACTGCTGTAATTTGTCCAAAAAGCAGGTTTCTTTAGTTGAATGATGAGTATCACAGCTTTATATGACATCTGCTCAAGTAAGGCATAATTAAACATTATAAATTTTGGGGTATATAGTTCTTGTAGAACCACTGCTAGAAGTAATCTAGCTCATTTATTTAGTACAAGTTCTTACAAGCCTCTGAGATGGACTATTACTTTTTGCAATTCCAAATGACTAGCAATTTAGGGAGGCCTAAGTTTTAAGGATAAAGCATTTATCTTTCATGAATCTCACTACAGTAAATCAGTATAAATTAAAAAATCTGCTTAGCTTGCATGCAGTTTGTTTTTGCAAAAAACCATTACACCTGAATATCCACTCTTACAAATTAGGGAGTTCCTAACATATTTAATGCTTAGATTTAATACAATAATAGATAAAACAAAAACCATTCACACACCCACACACACAAATGTGATGTTTTCATAACAATGTATTTCAAAACCAGTCTGTACAGATTCTTCTCCTCAGCTTACTAGCGTTTTTAGTTCAGAATCAAGTCATTTGATGATGGTTCTCCAGTTCTGGGAGCCAGATTAGTGATGGCTAACTTACAGAAACTTCAGCTATTAGGTTGCAACTGAAGTTGAACAAGCAACCGGTGTGTTTTTATTCTGCATCTGCTGGGACTCAGGGAAGGAGCAAACACGAAAGTTACATTGCTAGAATGATGTATGAGGCACATGGGCCTCTGGTGGGTAACTATGCTAGTTTGTAACTGTGCTGCTGGGCCTCAGCCCTCTAAGGATATAATCAGATGATGCTATAAGATACAGTTAACAGTTTTTGTTTCCTATCTTCAATACTAGGTTACTTGTTAGTATTGCCTCATGTTTCTAGCTTTCTGACTGATTCCTGCATTAGTTTCGTATCATCCACATACCTCAACCATATCCTTAAAACTGCTTGTACCTACTAATACATGATACATTTTTGAGTATTCTCAGGAACCAAACCTTCTCACTCTAAAAAGTTGCCTGTCTTTTCATCAGGTGGTTAATTCATTGACAGTATTCACACAAACTGAAATGGCCTTTACTATCTTCTCTTCTATTTGCCTGTGGCCTGGGTTCAGGTTAAGTTCATGTGTAGATGCTGTGTCTTTCCCAGCCTCAAACAGGACTAGTTAAGATTCACTTGGAATTTATATTAGTCACTTAGAGCGCTAGTCCTTTGGCAGTAACTGTTAGTTATCCCTCAAGTGTATCAGTATATCCTTCTTAGGCAGGAGTGTGCTAGATGATGGCATTTTCTTCCCCCCAAATTTAGCAGACAACACACCATATTTAAAGTTCCTTGAACACCTCAGGAAGTCTTTTTGAATTAATGTGCAGCTAGGAAGCTGCAGTGGTCATATTTTTAAAACAAACCATAGCATTGTTTTTGTGCAGTTCAGAAAGGACTTTATGAACTCACAGCTCAGCTACATATCAGCAACTGAAAGTGGTAACAGACAGTAACATTCAACAGCTTTTTACAAAAATCATATTCAAATAGTACCTCTTTAAAAGAGCTTGAGGTTATAGGGTTTGTGTGCAAGTCATGATTTGCTCATACAGATAATCAGCTGCTTTAATTCAGCTTTTCTCTAATGACAACAGCAGCCCTTCAGTTAGGCACATTATGTTAGCCATGGGTCTTAAAGAAAGAGAGCGGCTGATAGCGGGCTGACTTTCTGTTTTGGAGAGTTTTACTATACATTAGGGTTTAGTTCTGTGCAGTTTTGTTTGGATGAAGTACAGTATAGTTACAAGACAAATTAGATAAGGTAGATGAACACGGCGATAGCAAACATAGTTCAGAGGGAATTACACATGGGTGGGTTGCATTGTCACAGTCAGTCACAGTCATTTAAGTTTATCAAAGAAAGAGCTTTGTCATTCACTTGTGCAGTTTCACAGATACAAGTTAGGGTAGGTAAAGTTAGTGCCCTGAAGTACACAACCACCTATAGTCTAGATAATGATGGAGTACAATGAGGCAAACCTTATTATGACCACAAAACCAGAAACTGGCCTTGAAAGAAAATGCAAGCTACAATTGTGTTTAGTAACAGTAGGTTATGTACTTAGATACTAGAGAATGCATGAATCCTAAAGGCACTCATAACAGTATTTTGAAATAGAAGAAAATTTTCCTGAGCTATACTTCCTTCATCCTACTGATGCAGTATCTTGTTCTTTAGAAATACCAGAACAGAGATTAAGGAATAGTTGTACCTCATGGATGCCTCATTTTACCAGTCTTAATAATGCAGTACTGTATTCATTGATACCTCTGACTACCACTTCACATTAGTTCCAAGATGACTTTAGAAACTAACACTAGAAGATTAGTCACTTGGTCTAGGGAAAAATGAAATTCCTCTTTGAATTCTGGTTGGTAGCACCTTGGTTTGCAGTCTACATTCACCAGACCAGAAGTACAGAATTAAGGTTACCTAGCAGGAAGTGGCAGAAGTTTCAAATGTGGTGTTCATGATATGAAATAACAGCTGCAGTACCTAAAACACAGGGGGTAAATACATCCTGGTTCAAAAGTATTGATCACAATAGAATCTGCAGGACTATGTATTTAGTAATTCTAACATCTGGTAATATCTGGGATAGCGCAAGCTTTCTCATAAAACTATTTTCTTGAAAAGCTTAATCTGTCTTCCCCAAAAAGAGAGGCAGCTTCGTTCAACATTCCCCTAACTGCTTCTCCTCTTGTCCTTGACCTATTTAATCAGTCATTATGGTTTTGAACCTGTTCAGGAGCTTGATGAGATGAAATTCTGAAGACATGTATATGAAGATGAGCAGCAATCTGTAGGCATACACCAGTGGCATATCTCAGCATATCAAACAAGGATATGAACTTCAAAAGAACAAAACAACAGGTTAAAAAAAAAAACACAAATATTTTTAAAAATTGTCCCTACTATAAATTCAGCTATACTTTAATCAGAATCTATTCAAGTGACAAATTTAACAAGCATTTAAACATACAGAGTGGTCTAGTTTAGAAGAAAAAAACCCACAAAACCTAAAAACCCAAAAAACAAACGGCACTAAACACTTACAAAGTCTGATAAACAAAGGTTAGTCTGCAGTTTGCAGAGTAACTTTAAACAAACCACCTGAATTAAAGCATAATTACAAGAGAGATCTGTAGATTTACTTTCACATCTCTGTTCCAAGGAAAGAAAGCCAGTCAGCTCCCAAAATACATGTTTACATAGTATCCTAGCACTCCCTCGGCAGTGACAGCTGAGATCTGAGCAAGTCAGAAATGGCAGAGCAGAATGACAGGGACAGTTCTCAATCCATTCCTTTAAGTATGCTCCAAATTAAAAGTATAAAACAAAATGCTTACCAATGCTACCCATAGAACAATATATTCATCAATGAAACTGTTGAAGTACTGGTCCAAAAACAGAAGTCCTGGCCCAATAAATGCAGTGTCCTGAAGACAGATTTCACTTTTTGTCATGTGAGCCACCTACGTACTGCAAGATAAAAAAAAAAAAAAAAAAAAAAAGAGAGAGAGACAGACAGACACACAAAACTGCATCACTGCAAGATCAGTGTAACTACCAGAAAACTAAAAGAGAGAGACAGACAGACACACAAAACTGCATCACTGCAAGATCAGTGTAACTACCAGAAAACTGGCACAATATCCTTGCCCAGCAACAGGCTGCTGTCCACAGTTCCTAGGAAGCAATCAGCAGGCAGGCCAAGGGCTTCACAAATGCTTCAGGGCCTGCTGCTCCCTGACAGTTTCTTTCCCAAGGACCAAGTAACTTCTTTCCAGGTTATTCAACCAATATATAGCACTTTAATCAGTGATAACAGCTATTTGAATTATCAGTTGGTATTTGTTGACTTTATTATATAAGAAATGTGTACATGTCCTTCAATGTTCTTTTGCAAGTTACAGACATACCAGTGCATTTTAGCTATTAGCAGGGGTTCCCCACTCTTTATTTTTTCAGTGCTGTATTTGAAGGGTAAGACTATGCAAGTGTATTACTGAAAATGAATACTATTCACTTGAAGTCACAGAATCACAGAATAGTTTGGGTTGGAAGGGACCTTTAAAGGTCATCTAGTCCAACCCCCCCTGCCGTGGGCAGGGACATCTTCAACTAGATCAGGTTGCTCAGAGCCCCGTCCAACCTGACCTCGAATGTTTCCAGGGATGGTGAATCTACCACCTCTCTGGGCAACCTGTTCCAGTCTTTCACCACCCTCACTGTAAAAAACTTCTTCCTTATATTTAGTTTAAATCTACCCTCTTTCAGTTTAAAACCATTCCCCCTTGTCCTGTCACAAAAGACCCTTCGAAAAAGTCTGTCCCCATCTTTCTTATAGGCCCCCTTTCAGTACTGAAAGGCCACAATAAGGTCTCCCCAAAGCCTTCTCTTCTCCAGGCTGAATAACCCCAACTCTCTCAGCCTTTCCTACAGGAGGGGTGTTCCATCCCTCTGATCATTTTTGTGGCCCTCCTCTGGGCCTGTTCCAACAGGTTGTTTACAAGCGTAACTTGAAAATTTTGGCTTTACTTAGCCAAAAGCTAACAAGAAACTAGGCTTTTGCTTCGGTAAAAAGACTTGTTTTCACTGTTTAGTCGATAGGGATGTATGCACAGAGACACTTTACAGAATGATCAAGAGAAGATGATTACTGGGGGCGGAGGGAGGGCCACCTATCCCCCCCCACACACCTTGATCCTTCCATATTTAGCATTCTTAGAGACAACTTAAGCTCACCTTTAATTGAGAGGCAGAAGAAGAGGTTTTTGTAAGAAGTTGGAGACCTAATAAAGGACATATGAAGAGTCCATACCAGGAAGCTCAAAAATGGCAGAAGTAGTCTAGGTACCAAGTTTGCCATAAGAAATCACCCTGTCATTCCTTGCTTGTGGATACTTGGCAAGTATGATTAAAGTACTGAGAGGTTCCTGTGAACAAAGTGGTCTCTTAGCATAATATAAATAATATTCAACTCTATGCTGAACAGCAAAATTCACAGAAAAGCCTGTGTGTGTCCCACTCTACAGACAGGACAAACCACAAAGGCTTACATCCAGAGGAGAGTTGACAAAGGCTTCCACTCTAAGCCAGCTAAGGATGCATCTCTCCTGCTAAAGGGATCTGCTGCACAGAGCAATTCTGGGCGCACATCTAGTGTGATGTGCAACAGCTATGGAGGGTTAGCGCTCATGGAGCAGCTCTCGCACATCCACACAAACTGCAGAGACCTTGGCTCATGTCTCCACTAGGCCTCACATGTGGTCACGCCTTAAGTTTTTACTGCAGTTTGCTCACTCCGGAGTGCCTGAAGGACAAGGCCTCCTGAAATAGTATCAGAAAACTGAAATCTTTTCCCCACTACCTTTACAGATTTGCCTCGGGAGCAGACTATCCTCAAAGCTACACATAAAGTATCAAGGGAAACATGGTTTGCTCAGAAGTGCCCAGGAGTGAGTTGACATACATACAGTGATGACTGCTGGTTACAAGCACCCAGGGGTCCTCTGAATGAGCAAGGGAGCCAAGGTGTCTGACAGAATAGATGAACTGCCTCAAGTTCAGTCTTAAGGCTCAGTCTTCCTATCAGTCCTCTCCCTTGAATGAGGTTAGTAGTTCACTAGGTGAATTCCTGTTTAGCAAGAAAGTCTGTAGAATACATGTTTTCTAGTGTTTGAAAAATGTCATGCTGAAAAAAAGAAATTAATCAATGGCTGGATTACTGTTGTTAGCAAATATGTAGTAGGGCAGATTTTTATTGTAATGCCTTGATGAGGTTTTTAATTACAAAAGAGAGAAGGATAGAAAGTTTATCTCTTCATTTTAATGATTAAAGTTAATTCATTTTTCAGAAAATTAAGTCAGAAGCCACAGCACTGTTAGTAGGGCTTGAAGGACAACAGTTACGATGTTAAAGACAGTATATAGACTATGACTTATTTCTAGGAGTAGGCTAAACAAAACAAAGTTCTAATCAATACATTCAACAATAAGTATGTGTTTGCATCAGTGTCATATATAATCTCTCTGTAGGAGCCTGAGTCTAGTTCAGTGTCTTGGTCATAATGAAATACAGTGGCAGAGCAGAACTTGCAGTGCCCACTGATCCAGCAAGCATTAAGCCAAGAACCAGTTTATTTTTAGGAGGTTTAGGACTGAAACAAGATTCCTTACCACCAACTTCTGTGAGATTTTAGCATTCACAAATCCAAATGTCAAGACATACAGGCAAGAATGTTTTTCAAACAGCTGAGTTGTAGACTTTTTATAGATCACAATGGCGAGTATGATAAGTAGTCCAATGTGCAGGCCTGGTGAAAGAACACTTGTTCCCTGAAATACAAATGGACAGAAGATTTGTCTTGGGCTTCAGTCACACAGTAAGGTCCAGATTTTATACACACTACAAATCCCATTAAACAAAACCAGAGTTGTCAAAAGTCAGGGCAAGTCCATTAGCATTATGCCAATGCTATCAGTGTCCTTTGCAGTGACCACTAATCAATTTTGTAAGAAAATTCATTGCTGGTTGCCGTGACAGGAGAAATCCAGTAACGGGTGGAGAGAAAGTAGATAATGAAGTCTTTGCTTTAGCCATCCAACACTCACATGCCTGTCTGCTTAAATGCTTAAACAGATAAAACCCTTATGATCATCTGAAATGCAATAAATTATGGGCATAAATTATTCAAACCTCACTTAGATTTTTAAAGCAACTTACTGCTATTGTAGATCCATTCTTTCCAACCCCTCCACCAAAGATGATACGGAAGTAACTGAAAAAAGAAAGTGCTGTTCCACACAGTATGCTAAAAACTGCCAAGAACTTCAGTTCCAAGCCCACCAAAGGGACCTTAGCAGGAAACACAAGAAAAAGATATTAAAAGTTAAGGATAACTTTTTTAAAAAGTGATTAAAAAAAAGCTGCTGACACCTACTAAACAATTGTTTTATTTGAAGTCTCGCTTTCCCAGGAACAAGCTCAGGAGGACAGTGTTTGGAATTTGTTTCCTTACTAAGGAGACGACCAATTTCTTTCGGAATGTTTAAACTCGACTTTTGAGTACTTAAGTTGTGGTCTTGAAATTCAGCTAGATCTTTGTGTTTGTCCTTACAAGGTTCTTCAAATATTTTTACCACATAAGCAAAAACTTGACACAGACTACTGCATCACCAAAGCGTGGGAGGGGGGAGAAGGGTAGTTCCTTCTATTTCACTGGGTAACACAATACTGAACCACAGGAAACACAAACACCATCTGCCTGCTTTGTGTTTAGTACATGTTGTTTGTATGCTGTATCTTTGCATTTTGAATAGTCTCCAGATACAAATTTTAATTAAACAGTTACCTTTCATAATCAACTGCAGTTTCAAGGAAACTTCCAAAGGCAGCAGAGGATTTAAAAAAAAGAAGTAGTAATAAATTGAAACCATTGACTATTTTTTTGAATATAGATTGTTCTGAGATACAGCATAACTACCACAGATTTTAATACTGAAGAAAAATCGATCATAATTAAAGTCTAATGCACCTATTTTATTTTCCAACATGAAAATAAGCTGTTTGAAAATAGAACAAGAGCATCTTGCAGGATGGGGAAAGGAAACAAGGTTTAGCTAAACATTTCTTAATTGTTGAGTAAACTCGTGAGTGAATTTGAATTACTTGCTGGTTTATATTTAGATTAATTTGCATTGGTTATCAATAGCATGGAATGGTCTCAGCACTTCCATGCGCTACAACCAAGCAGAACTATACATTTCTGAGTAAAGACCCCAGAAAAGATGAATTTGATCCTTCATTCCACTGAAGCACATCTTTAAAGATCAGAATAAAAGCCAGAGATAGGGAAATGCTTTTGGACAGAAAACAATTCTTTAAATATAGATATTTACATTTATGTTAAAATGTAGTTTTTAAATCAGGACATCTGATTTAAAAATCAGTACATCTCCACTGACACGTAAATATGGATTTCTTAACCAAAAACCCCCTAACTTCATCCCATGCTTTTATTAGATTAAAGCATTTAATCTTTAAATTTTAAAATAAAGCATCCTATAAATAATTTAACTGAACAGAAATGTATGTCTTACAATAAAATATACAAAAGAAATAAAACTAGAACAAAAACTATTTATTAAAGCTTAAGTATCTGCAGAGTATTAGTTTCAGATCAAAAGTTCATATCTGGCAGATGGGGTCTTTTTTCCTCTATGTAGCTCTAAATTTGTGCATAGGAAGTCACACCATTATTCTTAAGTTAACTACAACATAAAAATAACCTACATTTGCACAATAAGCTAAAACAGAATGTTAGACAACTAGTAGGTGTTGATGGTACTTGCACAGGATAGCTTCAAATACCATAGGAACTGTGAACACTTAACAGGAACTGAATACTCAACAGGAACTCTGAATATTTAATACCCTTACCTTATAGTCCCATATTGCTGTGCCACCATATGCAGATACCAAGAGTAGCATTGTTATGGCTATCTGAACTTCAGTTACATCAACTCTATGAAGGAAAAAAGAGGAAGATTTAGTTAAAGAAAAGGTTTTTTTGCTGTAAGTGTAAGGCAGGCAGGGTGGGAATCAAAAAACAGTGACTATAAGTTATCTCCTTAGAAGTACTTCAAATTACCTCAATGTATATAGAATATAATTTTCCTTGACTGAGAAAGATACTCTATATGGAGGCACACGTCTTTGGTTAGGCTGTAAAATTAAACCTATACTCCTTATCTAGAGCAAGCTACATATAATTGTAATGGGGGAAAATCTTTAATGAATACATTGTTAACTGTTTGAGAATTTTGAGTATAAATTTACAGACTAACAAGTCTTGTGTAAGTATCAAATCAAACTTTAAGGCAAGCTCACAGTAAATGCAATCAAACATTTATATGATATGCTTTTAATGGAAAAGTATGGACTGTGAAGAGCAGGTTGGGACAGAAGGGATTTCTTTAAGCCATCATACCATGAAAACTTGACAGATACAGCCTGCAAAACATAAGGGCAGTATTTTGAGGACTGAGTCAGTGGGTAGCTAAGCATCTGTCCTGTTTCGGAGGACATATAATTGGTATCTTGCTTTTTTCCATAAAATACATTTTTAAAATAGGTGGCCTTGTATGTCCCCTAAAGTCTAGACTCTGTATTCCACCTTTTTTGTTCTCAGACAAGACAGCCAAACTCTGTCTTACTGTATCTGATTGCTGAAATGTTTTGAGAAAACCTGAATATATAAAAAAAGTTAAGCAGAGGCTCAAGAGAAAGAATCGATACTTTCAATAAAGCTTTAAAATAAGTAAAATAAGTGTGCACATCTAAGGCACCTTTTATGCCGCTAAAGCTTTTGAGACAGGTACCTGATCTTTGTCCTGAAGTTACCAGCAAACAGTGACAATGGATGTTTAAAATACAACATTTCCTTAAGCAATTAGAATAAATTTGCTGTTTTAAGGTATTACGATCGAAGTCAACATGTATCATTACTTGCTTAGCACATGAACTGTTTGCACAGGAAACTATTTTTAAAGGGAGATAGGAATCAACTCTTGGCTAATGGAAAACATTTATCTGATCTTGATAATCAAAGTAACATTAAACTCTCTTCTTTCATTGGAAAGATAGTGATAAAATATGCTAAGTTTCATCACAAGCATCAGACTCTTAGTCGAGCCAAAGTTTAAGCTGCAACTAGATGATATGCTGAGGTGCTCGTCACTGTCCAAAGCCGTTGGAATGGGTAGTCCTCGCCGTCCTACGCCGTTGTGCTCCCTCGCTTGTACTAGCTATAGTGCTCATCAGACTGTAAGGTGAACCAGTTCAGCTTGCTAGCCTCATGTAGGCTTGTAATCTTCTGCCTGTTTCATGAATTGGCTTGAAGTCAAGCAACAGAGTCTGTGCAGGGGGGAAACGGGACAGCGCTGCTGGGAGCGGGCTTTTCCCTCTCTACCAGGGATGAAGCGTTACATCTGCTCAGTCATTGTGGTAGCTGCACACTGAACTTGTTTACGTCATGCAAAAGCATCCACATGCAAGTTCAAGTGTTCAGAGTTCACACTCTGTACCTAGATTTGTAAGCTGTACTGCATTTGCTGTCGCTGCTGGTGGAAGGAGTCTTGAACTTGAAGTTGAGTCATTGTATGTGCCAAAGTTTAGTACTTAATTTTACAGAGGCTCAGATTGTTGGTTGCAACACAGCCCAAATCAGAGTCCAAATATTTTAAATCAGACACTGCGCGGTATTCTACATAACCTGACAGTGGCACAGTACCCAGCTCTCTGGGCCATCAGCGCTAGGACTCCCTCACCTGTCATTTGACTTCTAAAATCAAGTGCTGCTAATACAGGAACAGCATCAGTGAAAGCTTCCGTCCATGTTATTAAGTATTATCATATTTAGAGCAATGTACTATTGCCTTCATTTAGTCTATTACCTCCATGCTTAAGAGAAATAAAATTGTGAGCCTTGAAACAACTCTGACTGCTCTCACTAAACAGAAATAAGTTATCCTGGAGAAAAGTTGTGTCTAACTTCAAACAGTAAGCATGGAACACCAGGCCATTCCGAACTGCTTGTACTATGCAGTATCACTATATTTACGTAGAAGCCATTAAGTTTTTAATAAAGAAGTTTTTATGGGGTATGGGAGCCTCAGTTTGGAAATTCTCACATTTTGTGCACGAAGGAAAGGCACAGAAAAGCAATAATTTATGCAAAATCCCAGAGCTCATGGCATAGTCCATCTCCCTTCACTGCAGTCCACTGTCATGTACGGAAATTATCTTATTTCAGCCATCACTTTTTTTGTTTACGTCTATTTTTGTTTACAGCACAAGATGTCCTTTAAAAAAAGTAGGATGGGTAGGCAGGTAGAAGACTTACAGTTTGTGTGGTAAAATGCATTATTAGCGAATAAAAAGAGCTCTTAGCATTACCACAAAGACAGCTTTCTTTTGATACAGACATCGAACAGTATGCAAGGATTGCTGATCACTAGCCTGTGTGCCCAGTGATGCTCAGATTTGCTAAGGTGCTTCTTGCAGGTCAGAGCTAAGCAGGACTATAAACAGGGGACTTAACAATTGACTAGGATTATCAGAAATATAGCCTTCATCTATCACATATTTCCAGTTTTGCTGCTACGGAAGTCTCTGATCTTTTCCTCTTTCCAGAAATCATTACTGAAGTGCAGCTCGTTGTTTAAAAACAGCAAAAGGCAATGGCTAGGCACCACCACAGTTGTGGGAGGGTGCAGCAGTCCCCACACTACTAGGAGTTAAATTGAAATTGTTATCTTCTACATGAATGTCATGACTCCTCCTCCCACACTGTAGTGAGAACAGATGGAATTTCTACCAAGTCATGAACAGCATCAACAGCAATCGCTAGAATTGTGACCTAACACAAAACCTAAAGGACGTCAAAACCAATATGAGCCAGATTGAAATCAAAGCCCCCAGATAAACCTGGGGTAGTTCTTCAAGCACTGCCATAGCTCTGTGGAACTCCTTGACAAAGGATGCAATGGATGCAGAGAGTTTGTTCGAAGGAAGGCTGAAGATATCTATGGAAGAGAAACCCATTAGCTCAGGAATTTCTCTAAAAAAGAGCCCAGAGTCCCCTGGGCTGAAACTGTTCTGTGGCTGGGAGGTTACAAAGGGAGGTACTGCTGATGCTTGCTCTGTTCCTACTCCTACACAGAGCACTTGTTTACACTGCAGGCAAGACCTCTCTGGCCTGAGCCCGCATGGTGCTTGTATGGGTTCCGTGAACAAATCTGCAGACAAAAAAGCGAAATGCATGCAAACAAGGCATATATAGCTAAGATCAGCTGCTAAAAGACAAGCCCTCTACTCAATATTATGCAGAGTTTTAAAGTTCTTGCCAGGTAAAACACAAGTCTGCTAGGGTGGAAGGGAGATGAGGAGGAAAGTGAGAGGAAGAGAGAGCGGGGAAAAAAACAAGAAGAAATGGAAATCAAGTAGCTAGCAGTCTCAGACATTAAGCCACATGTACTTCTAAAGATACCTACTTACTTTCCAAACCTTAGTACGCCTGATACATATGTCTGCCAGTGAGCAGAATAGAACATGAACAGTCCCACAAAACAACAGAAAAACAACCAGTCAGGATTTGTTCCTAGTCGGATTGCTATGCAGGATCCAAGGACAACAAAAACTGAAAAGCAGAAATGAACAGGTTAGTCATATACCCTCTTTGCTTGCAGTTAAGAAAAATTAAAAAAAAAAATCACAAGGCATTTTACATCACTATAACAAAGTAATGATACGACTGATACTTTACTGAGTAGCTAACCTCAGGGACAGTCCTGGCAGGAAAGACCAAAACACAGGACTCCTTTTCTTCCAGGCAAGCGTCCCGCCTTCTAGCCTACAGGGGTCGTTCTCCCTTCTTCTGCCCTTGTCATCTCGTGTTCTTTGCAACACTGACAGCTTCACCTGAAGGGCCCAGCTCAGAGGGACTGGCAGTTGCACTTCTCTGGGAAGTGAGGTATAAAGAACGTACCAAATCCCAGGACAAATGTTTCAGCTGTTAAGCTTTTCTAGAAGTACAGGCATTGCCACCCACAGCAGCTAAGTTATGGAAAGTAAAACTGAGCAAGGCTTACTTTTTAAGGACTCCAAATCAACTTTTTTTAAACTCATTCTTCTAAGGAATATAAATTATCCTTCTCCTAAGTGCCAGGCTGGATGCCCTATTACCAGAATGATATTTTGGCACCTCACTCCTAAAGTGGAATCCTTAGTTTCACATGCCAGCAGCAGTCTTTTAGGTCCTTAAAATCCTTTATTAGGCATCACCTGTACCCTACTGGAAAACACAGGCTATGTATAGTAAAGAGTCTAAGCATGCTCTTACGGAACGCTTTGTTCACCATCTAGCTCATGCCAAGAACACTGTACGTGAAGATGCACAGTAAGTAAGAGCAGAACGCATGTTACCCAACATCTGCCAAAGGTACTTCTGAAATATCCTCCCTGATACTGGTCAGGGATGCAAACGTCAGGGGCAGCCTTGGCTGCAGTGACCAGGAGATGGTGAAGTTACCCTAAAAGAAGGGAACGTGCTGACCCTGCTCTGCGTAGGGGGTTGGACTAGGTGATCTCTAGAGGTCCTTTCCAACTTCAATAAATCTGTGATTAATCAGCTCCTTTTGAAAACAGGTAATTTTTTTAAAACTAGGATGGGTAACAATAGGTTAAGGCTACCTGTGGAAATAGAGTCGCAACCATGATCAAAGAGTTCTCCTAAAGGAGAACTACTGTTTGTTCTTCTGGCTTGCTTCCCATCAATGGCATCCAGAGACTGGTAGATAAAAAGTCCTAGTGCACCCAGGATGTATGCCCAAAAAGGTGCCTGAAAGAGATTCACATAAAAGGTCACTAGGCCTTTCCCAGTTTCTTAGCTGATAATCTATTTCATTAAAGGTAAAATATTGTTCAGCACAAAACCATACTACGTTGTGCTATTTGTTACTTAGTTAACAGACAAACCAAGTTCTGTGCGCTAGTCCTACATGAACTGTAGTAACTACTATAATGAACTACTCCGGATACACCAGTGAAATACAGGTCCTTCTATTAAAAAAAAAAAAACCAAACAAACAAAAAAAAAACCCGCCCCAAAAAACCCACTTTAACCTCTCTTCTGCATCAATTGACTTATTTTTCCACCTTGAAACCACAGTATTTCTATAATTATTTGTATTCTTTGTGCTGAAAAACGTTACAAAAATAAAATGAACCTTTAAAAAAGAAAACAGTAGGAAGGCACTTACTAAAGTTCTCAGCAGTTTATGTGATAGACCCTTAGATGATTTGCTCAGACTTGCAACATATAGATATAAAAACCCATTACATTTTTATTTTTCCACCTTGAAACCACAGTATTTCTATAATTATTTGTATTCTTTGTGCTGAAAAACGTTACAAAAATAAAATGAACCTTTAAAAAAGAAAACAGTAGGAAGGCACTTACTAAAGTTCTCAGCAGTTTATGTGATAGACCCTTAGATGATTTGCTCAGACTTGCAACATATAGATATAAAAACCCATTACATTTTACTAAATAAAGCCTTTTTAGGGAAATTTTTTTTTAGATTTTTTCCAACATAACATAGGCACTTTGGACAAGGGTTTGAAGAAATTAAGTCATTCACTAAATATGAAGGAGCAACTATCTACTTAATATAGACTATCAGAGTTTCAAAACAAGCTGTGAATCAGTTACATTAACACCAGTCTTAGGTTCAAAGGAACTGTCCTACAGTAGTACCTTTCAAAAGCATTATTTTCATACACACAGTCACTATGTCTTTGTTTGTCTAGGAATTAGTTTTTACTAAAAATAATTTGTAACACCTTTTGAACAAAGTACAGGTAACATTTTTGCCTCAAGTAGTTTCCAGCGGTATCCTTAACATTTAGAAGCACTGTTCACAAAAAGAGAGCCAAAGTTAGGTATAAATGCTGGAAATGCAACTTGCAGGTTAAGCAAGCAAACAGCCACAAGCAGCCACAGAGCTGAATCCTTGCACGCCCAGGTAAGGGACAGCTGCTGTGGCTCTACACCTCTGCAATTCCTCTCCTGCAGCGCAAATAGACCAACATGATTACGTGTATTACCTAAGTCCAGTAAAGGCTATTAAGCAGATTTAGACAAGAGATTGAATCTCAGTGAGCTGAGATTTGTCCACACGCACATAAACCCAGCGTCACTGCTGGGGAAAAAGGAAAAATGAGAGTTGCCAATCAGTTCATAGGCAGGGATAGGAGAAGGCAGCAATAAGAATGCAGATGAGTTAAGCTGCTCCTCCAGCCATTCTGTTTTCTCATCATCGTTACACTCACTGACTTGAGCTAGGAAAAAAGTTATGCCTCCAGTTAGACTGATTACAAAACACATCCTTCCCAAGAACCAACATGCTTAAAGGAAGTTCAGTTCTGAACGGCTTTTTTGCTGTTATTTAAGACTTCCTCATGTATTCAAGGCTGGCTCATACACTATGTTATCATTTAGTTTTGTGCTTTTAATACGAAAAGAATATTGTCAGCAAATTTATGATTTTCCTGCTACCCAGTATTTGGATAATTTCACTAATAAACCATTCCACCATTTAAAGTCAAACGGTTGGCTTCATCCAGCTTTGAAGCAAAAGTCAGTCAAAGAATTAGGGACTCCAGCTATAGGTGAAAAGTCTGGATTTGTATGTACATAGAAATCTAGAAAACTTAGAAAATTCTTCAAAACTGGCCGTCCTTCCCCTTAACTCAAGGAAACTAAGAAAAATTGTAATCACAGATGATGTTGGAAGCCTTGAGCAGGTGAAAGAGGATGAGTAGATATTCTCATTCCAATGGACATTTAACATACTGGTATCTGATAACCCCTCAAAGAGCACACTGTAGAAATCCAGGTCAAGTGATTACAGCAATATGTTTGATGTTTACCAATGGGATTAGTCGAGTTATTTAGTTTTTTTCTCCCTTGTTAGTCCAGTTAAACAAAGGAATTTTGTGTTGGGGGATGGGGTTAAACCCTGGAGTGAGTTCTTAGCCATCTTTTGAAAAAGTTTCTCTCCTCTGACAAAGGGGGAAGGACAGAGCCTGTGGACAACAGGAGCCTACTGCCACCCTGGGTTCGCAGATCACCAAGAGCCATGTGGAGGAAGAGAGAGCTCAAGGGCTTCTCCTGGCACAAGCTCGCTTGGTCAGACGTTCTGCAGGGAGGCAGTGGCTACCTGTCGGCCCCCATTCTCGCCCTCCACCTTTCCAAAATAGAGGGCTGTCAGCCATTGCTCAGGTACTTCAGGACATAAAAGCACAGTTAAGCTGTTGAAGCTAAGATCATTTATGTGTGACATAATCCACATATTAAAGCTACCACAGTAGCTGGACTGACTTTTTCAGAATAACTTAGTTGCATGGAGAATAACAGTTATTCTCAAACAAGGCAGCTCCTGACACAGACCTATGAATGAAGCACCATGAGCAGGAAGGCCAGGAGAAACCACTGGTTTCACTGCTGTCCTTTAAAGTAGTATTTTAAAGACATCTCCAATTTTATCACCAATACTGCTGTGAAATGCCACAAAGGTTATTTGCAGTGTTTTATGAGGTGTCCCTACTGTGACATACTTCTACTAGTTATGAAGAGATAGCTTGAGGTCTATTGAAACTTGTCATGCTAATCCCTGGATTTCAGGAAGAAAACCAGGCCACACCTGGCAATTCTATCTAGGACACCATGGGTTTTTGGTTGCATTAGGCTCCCCTCCTTTTGCAACCATCTACCTATAAGTGAAATAGATTTTAGTTTGCTTTAAAGTCATCAGGTTCTCCATATCACGGGCAAAAGTAGACTGTATCCAGTGCTAAATATGCAAGGAAATTCCTTACCCACTTTGCATTCACCCCCGCCCGCAGTGTGGGGCACATCACCAATTAAGTCAAATGCCAGAGTGTGGGCAGTTTCTTATTTAACTGGATCATTTCCATAATTGAAGCACCAGTCAGGAACAGAAACCTGTTATGGCACATTTTTTTATCATTAGCCATAGTGCTCTATGCTGTATGCTTGGTATTATCACAGTCTTTTGAAATGCAAGCTCCATGAAATACAGCCTCAATTCTAACCAAAACAGAAGGCTTGCATGCTGGTTACTACAGTCAGTTTATGAAAGCTTCCATAACCCACAGAACATGAGGCAAGAATTCTTTTTCAGGGTAACATCATCTACATTTACTTTACCTCAAAACAAGTTTAACACATTAAATGTAAAAATAAATAAATAAACCTCTCTTATCAGGTCTTTTTGACAAAGCAATGGCTTTTGTTGAGTTTCAAGTTATTGTACAGGTATAATCTTTAAGACTGCTGATCCAAGTCTGTTTGCATTAGCTCCTGCTGGGACAAATTAAAGCAACGATCCCCTCAGACTCCAAAACTGATCACTGACAATCTGGAAAGAGGAGAAGTCTTCACCCTCTTCCCAATAAAGATATCTATATCTGATAACACCTGTAGCGGATGCATCTGTGTCCCTGCAGTTGCGGAGAAGCGAAAAAGATCGTAGTAAGAACAGGGAAACAGGTGTCTGAGAGGGCTTAGAAACACAATCTGGAGCATTTCATCCCTAGGCTGTCAGTTCAAATTAAACCCAAAGTGCTAACAACCAAAGATCACTCATGATCATCTATGCATTTAACAGATTAAATGAATGCTTTAATATTTTAATCAGTAAAATACAGTTTTCCAAATCACCGAGGTGCACAGAGGTTTCTGAAGTTCCTAATAACCACAGATTCTCTCTGCTATCCACCCTCTCAATACAGCTATAGTTGCCGTCTCCTCCGCCTTCCCACATACCTGGTTCTCCATCCAGGGATGTCCCCTGCCGGCTTCCCACGCTGAACCCACGCTAGTTTGCAAATTAGAGAAGTGGGAGCATTTGAGAATGCTGACATGGCTGACAGACTCAGCAGAAAGGTCAGGAGACTCCCAATAATCATCAGCTTTTCACTGATGAGGTGTTTATTATCTCTGCCCAAAGTTATATCCTGTCCAAGCAAATGTATTGTTTGGCCAGAGCTAGATGCTATTTTTATGGAACTAGAAGAGAACACAAACCCTGGGGGGGAGGAGGAAAAAAGGCTTCTCCACTTCAATTAAAAAGGATGTCTGAAAGATGATACAGCCCCAGAATCTTGTCACACACAGATTTGGTACAGCAGGTCTGGTCATCTACTGAACTAGAGGGTGTCAAAACAAAACAATGTGCATATAGCATTTGACAGGTATGTATGGCATGCCTCTCCTTCAGGAAAAAGTGTAGGCTGAACAGCAGTCCCCATTCTTCTGCCCCTGTGATTCCATGCCACAGAAGAGCATGGACAGCTGCAGAAGACTAGATGTGCCACGAAGACCCCTTAGCACTTATTTCAAGCAAAGCTCTCAAGTCCAGAGAGTTCAACAGCCCAAGCTTATGCAACATCTAAAGATTCAGACCCCCTTAATTACTCATCACATTTAGTCATAATCTCGCTTCCTCAATCCAACAACACAGCAACCAATTTCACCCTAGTTTACACAGCCCCTCTCTGGAACAGATCCAGAAGAGAAAGAGACATTTTTACTGGACTTCCTCCCTCTTCCCCCCAAATATGGATCATTTTCCTCACTTCTGTTTCGCACAAAGCACTATGTACAATTGTATTAACAGCAAAAGAAGGGGAGGGGCTACTTAAACCTGCATTACAGCAGGGCAAGAGGGCAAGGAGGGGGGAAGCGGGGGGAATCATACTATAGCCCAAGTGCATTTCATGCACACCAGGGACTCCCTGCATTCCTTTAGCATCCTCTTCTCCCCGACAAGCTCCCTCTCAAAAGAGCTCCTGTCCTTCTGTGTTGGGGTTCCTGAACCTTCGCTGTCATCTTTTATGCCAAATACCTCTTTCTCCCTTTCACTACCGAGTGCTCCATTCTTCACTCGTGGGTATGGGCTGGATTCCCCTCCCCACTCAGTGCTTCTCATCTCTCCTCTACCAGGTCAGGGGCTTAATGCTTCTTCCTTCATGCCCCCAGTTCATACCAGCTGTTCCAGTTCCCCCTCTTTTCTACTTTATTCTCTCTCCCACAAAGCTCAGTTCTGCCCTTGCTATTTACATCATTCCATGCCTGTCAGTATCTTCCCTTCATTTCTCTCTCTGACCCAAGACGATGCCTCTTTCAGTTTAAAAGATGGGGTTTGGTGGGGGGGTGGGGTGGGTTTTGTTGTTTTTTAAAGGGCATTTTAAAAAGAGAGATTGAGAGAAGCAGAGACAGCACCTCACCAATGTTCCTCTCCCTCCAAGCAATTAATAGTAGAGCTAGCTGGAGCTACCTAGACCCTGCTCTGCTTTTTGGTCTCCCTAGATGCATGGCTTTCTAAATAGTATGTTTCAGCAAGGTATAGCACCCTTTTATAAATGTACTATCCCATTTTTTAAGCAATTCTACAGAGCTAGCCATCACAAGCCTCCCCTCCCTAGCTCTGCTCTCTGCATGAGAACTCTTGAGCCCCTGCCCCCTTTTGCCATCACTGCCCAAACTGCAAATCCATAATCCATGCTTTTCTCTTCATGTATTCCTCTATTCCCAGTAACCTGCAGGAAATTATAGACAACAGAAACAAAGGCCTTAAAAAACCCCAAATAAATGAGACATGATGGAACCTAAGAAGCTGAGAGCATGCAGGACAAGTCTTTATCACTGGATAAAATCTACTCTGATCAGTTTGGGGGGGCTCTTTGCTTAGATCCTGCTATAACTGCTACAGATTTTTTTTTTTTTTAAATAGATACAAATTCAGTACAAAGTAATAATTACTGCTAGCATGAACTTCTGTCCTGAAATTCTAGCTTCCTATGGTATTTTAGAGACCTGTAGCTGAGCTCAAAGGATTACCGAAGCTAGGCCCCTCCATGAGCAACCATGAAAGCAGCAGGATCAGAGTTTCCTTTCTCCTTTTTAGTACGACAGAGAATTATGTTTAGCCAGTTTTCTTCCTAGTGTTGATGCAAGGAAAAAATTAACATGTCAGTTTTCCCCAGAATGGGAAGGGCTAACGAGAGATTCATGTGCAAAACCTAATGAAGTAACTAGAGCTACTTCAGAGAAGTCAGCTTGCAGTAGAGCAAAACAGTTCAGTGTCAAATGATGGGGATAAAATGGAAATGCTCACCTAAGAAGTGCTCCTTTTACACTCTAAAGCAGCAAATACACACTGTTCATACTTAAAGTCAGCAAACCTCTTCATTCCTAAATATTTTATAATTAATGTAAAAAAAAAAAAAGAAAAAAAAAAACCACTAGCCCGCAGTCCCACTGAAGAAGATACTTCAGCCCTCCACAGAACATGAAACGTGGAGGTAGTGTCTTCCCACCATCACACCTCGTGTAGCAGTCCCATATATTATTTCTATAGATTACTGTCTTACATTACACAGATTAGGAAACTGGACAAACACTCTACAAAAATCTACACACATGGATTTTAGTTACAACAGCACTTGAGAAGTGCAGCCTGCTAATGGTTTAGCTACAAATAAGAAGGCTTATGCTGAAATGTGCATTGACAGGAGACAGTGATACAACCCATCTTCCTACCAGACAAGAAGACATTACTTAAGCAGACAACATTTTATAAAGCCAAAACATATTGTGCTGGTCAGCAACAAACTGGCTTTTAGTGGCTACTGATGCTGATGAAGATAAAAAGAATAGTGTATACGGAAATAACGGCTACACAGTAAGAGAACAAGGGAGAATTGTATGGTTTTAGACATTAATTGCATTGTGTCTGTGGGGGAAAAAGTATTAAATTGTGGAATTCACTGCAATAGGACATAATGGAAGCTGAAAGTACAAACAGGTTCAAAACAAAGAATTCAAAAGGCAAAATCATGAGTTGGAAGGTGTCTGTGGGGAAACAGATCCATCAGTTGCTGTTCTAGCAAGTCACCTGAGTAGAATCCCTCGCCGAGAAACCCCTAAACCAGAGTCTTTTGGCAGCTGGAAGGGTATAATGGGGAAAGATCTCTTTTCTAAGCATCTGCTAGCAGCTACTCTGAGGGATTTCAGCTACCAGTCTTACTTGGTTTGGATGGTTTGTACAAACATCAAGACTTCAGTGTTTTCAATAAAGGACTAAAAGAAATGGCCCACTTAAGACTGGTTAGGGAAAAAAAACCAGCCACACAAACCAACTCATAAAAAAACCCTCACCTAAAACCAAAACCTGCTTGTTATTTTATCCGAGTCTTCTATCCAGTGCTCCTACACTTCCACCAAGAGAAGATAACAAGTTCTCGTTAGTCCATCAGGTAATGAAGACTTGTTCTTGAATGGAAGAGGTGGCTTGGCAGTATATAGAGGTGATGTTGAAGAGCACTATGCTATTAGTTCAGCCTGTGATTCAATCACCTTTAACATAATTTTCCTTCCTTCCTTCCACCTTCCCCCTAGCCCTTCCACCCTACACATCCAAGTCAAAAGTACAAAGTAGGTATTACAACAGTACATATAGCATCTATTAGTGTTGCAACAGTTTTAGCTTGTTAAAAAAAAGCCACCCAGACACATGACATCTTACGTAGAAGACAAGCTGAGCCACTAAACAAGCAGAAGAGAGATAACAATGCCCTAAGTCATGCAGCAAGAGAAAGTGAGGGCTGTTCTCACAGCGCAGAGGCAACAAAAACCAACAGGATAACGAGTCTGGCTTTACACTACCTATTTATAAAAGATATACTGATATCTGAACAAGGAAGTTTAGTCCAAACTGTAGTTTCTTATAAAATTCAGCTTCTGCAATTAAAAAAAGAAAAAAAAAAAGTAAAGTTCCTAAAACTCAACCTAAGCTTTCCTGGAACAAATAATTCACTGGATGTCTGCAACGCAACCTTTTTCTTTTTTACAAGAGTCCTCAACGGAAAAATAACTTAAAATTTACTTTTTGCCTTTTTTTTTCTGAATAGCAAAGAGAAAAAGCTAAAATGAACAGCCAGACACATAGCTGGCACACGATTGATATCTACAACACAAAGCTAAAGGTAGCATTTCCACAAGCATTTTAATTCTGAAAGTCCCACTAGAAGACAATCTGCGGTTTCCAACCATTCACTCTCATCTCTATCCTCCCTTCTCCTACTGCCTGCAACACCAGAGAGTGCCTCTACCTGGTGATGCAAATCAGGGAAGTGATTAGGGTTAGACCAAAGCAAAGCAAAAATTTTGATCTGATCAGCTTCCTGATATGTCTGCCACAAACACCTCTGCTAACACAAAGGGCAAAGCAACTACAGAAAAAGAAGGGTGCTTCCGTCAACAAGAACACTCACCGAAGTATATCTAAGTTATTAAAAAAACCCAACCAACTGCCACCTCTGCCATTAGGATTTAAGTCCATCAGAACGCAAGAAAAACAACAGCCACCCTTCAAGATATTTTACCTACACAAAGCAATTTTCCCCTGATATTTCCCACCCTAACTACCACGAAGACTCTGCACTAGGAAACTCGTAACAGGCTGGGAAGCTCCGATAGAGCTCCTTAAATTGTTAGTGAAACTGTAGGCAACCCAGTTTAAGCGACAGCAGCACCAGCCCCCATTAACAAGCCTGTTTTCCCTCCAGAGGCTAAAGCAATTAAACGTTTCCCACACGAGGACGGGAAGCGTTTGAGCCACTGTCAGCTAACACATCTGCGACACAACCGAATCTTGATTCTAAACTAAGCGATGCTGAAGTGGCGCCAGCCATGCCTCCTGGCCAGCTCTGCCCTGCTCCTGGGCACATCCCGCGCCCTCTCTCCTGGCCGGCAGCTGTTTCTACCCCCACGGGCCCTCTGTTACAGCCTTCCTCTTGAGAGGGGAGTTCACACAGCTTATGTCTCCTTCCCAGCAAGCTGCCCAAGCAGAGGCACACATGTGGGACGTAAGATGGTCCCTGGAGGAGGCTAGGGTCTGGCCTGGGCCAAGCACCTGGTCAGAGCCCCATCCCCACGGGGACCGCTGGTCAGTGATGGGCCAGGGAAGAGAGAGCAGCCCACGGAAACTCGCCCTTTCACATGATCCCCCCAGCAGTGCGGCATTCAAACCCTAACACCCATCTCCAGCTTGACCCCAGCTACCCCACAGCGTGACCTCCGCACCGCCGCTCCCCTGATTTCTCAGGGCAAACCCGCAGCGCTACCTCAGCCCTCCCTACCCCGGGA